CAGTCATAGTACCTCTAGGAATTTCATTTCAGATAGCAAAGGGAGCATCTAGAATTTTTTATATATAAAAGGGGAGAGTGTTGTGGCGGATGGTATTGAGAATTACTGTTCTAGAGCGGTAAGTAAAAAACAATATCCGGAGCATAAGGGACCATTTTATTCTTTGACGCTTTCTTTTTTAAATTTATATATTTTTATTGATTTCAGAGAGGAAGGGAGATGGAAAGAAAAATAGAAACACCAAGGATGAGAATCACTGATTGGCTGCCTCCTGCACACCCCACACTGGGGATCAAGCCCACAACTCAGGCATGTGCCCTGACCAGGAATCAAACCATGACCTCCTGGGTCATAGGTCAGCACTCAACCACTGAGTCCCCCGGCAGGACTACCTTGACTCTTTTCAAACACCTCAGTGCCTTCTCACTGCCTCAACTGCAACTCCAAATTCTTTAGGGTCTGACACTTGCCTGTCTCTTCAGTTTCATTTTCTTCTGTGTACTTTGTGCATGAATAATAGTAAGCTATTTTTTATACCTTAAGTAAAATGTGCAGTATATGCCTTTGTACCTTTGTATTCCCTCTTGCCTTGTCTGCCAATCAAATTCCTTGTTAGCTCAGTCCTCCAATAATATTTACTGACCCTCACTCCCCACCCGACAAGGCAGATCACTCCCTCCTCTGAGTTATCACTGCACCCTGCACATATTTGAATTGTTACATTTATCATACTACAGTATAAATTATTTGTTCCCCTATTATTAGACTATAAGCATTTGTCTCCCCTATTATAAGACTACTCTAGTAGGCCCAATGCACAGAATTTGCCCTCGTAGCCCTGGCTTCATCCGGACAGTCGTCTGGAAGGACATCTGGTCTAATTAGCATATTACACTTTTATTATTATAGATGAGCTTTTACAGGGAAGTGAGTCTTATTTATCTCTGTAGATAAGAGTATTGAATGAATAAATTAACCTCTATTCTGGGCTTATGTTCTAGAACTGTCCATCTAGATATACTTCAAAGTCCACATATCCAAAACGGAATTCATTTTTATTTTGAACCAACACCTTCTGCTGAGTTCTTATCTTCATAAATGATACTATAAATGACCCAGTGGCCCAGGCCAGAAATCTGAGAGATATCCTTAGACATCTCTTTCTCCATTACTTTTCACATTCATTCAAACTTCAGCTCCTCTCAATTCTAACTCCCACATTGCTTAGCCTGCTTCTTTCTTTTATTCCCCTGATACCTTGTCTCTATCTCCCACGATTTGATTCTCACTCCTTTGAAATGGTCAGGCCTGAAGTTAACTTACTCAGGTACTGTGAGCCAAATTGGAGCTAGACAGAGAAATGAGAAGGGCATTCCCTTCAGGAAGATGAAAAAGAAAAGGGTTTCTATCCTGAACACATCCTGAGGGCAGCCTGGAGGGCTGATGGTGCATATGTAAAAAGAACTACTCCCATCTGGGGTGGCTCTTAGATGTGCTGTTCCATTGTTGTCCTGGAAATTACCTTTACTTCTCTTCTGTGCTAGATTCCCTGTTTTTTTTTTTTTATTCCCTAACTTTGGTAAATGGCATCTTTCATTGCTCAGTAAGTAAGGATGCATGGTAGATAATTTTTGAGTCCTTTCATGTATAAAAAATGTCATTATTCTATCATCACATTTAAATAATAATTTGTCTGGGTACAGAATTCTATAATGAAATCATTTTCCCCAAGATTTTGGAGGGTCATCTCCAGACTAGTATGAGGGACATGGGAGAGAAGAGAGTGGCTATCTGAGAGCACTACAGTGTCCTCAAAAAAGACTTAGGTCCTCTCCGAGTAAGAAAGTGAAGGAAATGTTTAGAGAAAAACTGAGGACACAGTTTTGCTGCTGACTGATCATGAATTCTTGAGAGCAAAGTGGAAGGGTTTCAGGAGTTTGGGAGGAGTGGGAGATGAAGTTAGAATACGGTTAACAGAGCCATATGGAATTAGTCTGGGAAATGAAGGATAAACTAGCATTCTTTTTTTAAAAATGTGTTTTTATTGATTCAGAGAGAGGAAGGGAGAACGAGAGAGAATTATCAATCAGCTGCCTTCTGCACACCCCCAAGTGGGCATAGAGCAGCAAACTGGGCATGTGCCCTGAATGGGAATCAAACCCTGACCTCCTGGTTCATGGGTTAATGCTCAACCAGTGAGGCACATCGGCCAGGCTAACCTAGGACTCTTGTGGTGACTGATTAGAAATTGAGATAAATGGTATAATGTAATTATCCAAATGATGTCAAGGCAAATATTGGTAACAATTAAGTGAGTAGTGGGGATTGAGGACTAGGGAGTAGGGATTTGACCAAAAGCACGCAGAGTTCTAAAACTCTCATTCCCCGTTGGTGATAAGGATATGGAAGCCAGAAGAGGGGGGACTATGAGTTTATTCCCAGAGCATAGAAATTTTCCACAGAATCACAATAAGCCAACTGTTTCTCAGCACAGTTAAAAATCCTTAAGGGTTCTGCTCCAATGAGAACTCATAATAATAAAACTTAGTATTTACCAAGGACCTGGCATTTTATATATATCATTTTATTTCATTCTCACAATAAACCCAAGAGGAAAGTTTTATCATTACCATTTTTATAGATGACAAACTAAGGCTAAAGAGATTAAAGTGCCTTATATGCTGCTACCTTAGCTCACAAGAAAAGTCCTGATGGAACCCAAACCTTATATAAAACCTAAAATAGCAGAATTTCATATGAAGGAGTCCTTTACTTTTGTAAAGATAAAAATTTCTCTTCGCCTTTTACCTCCATGCAAATACATAAAGGAGTTATTTTGTAAAGACTTACCATAAAGCTTTCTCTGACCAATGAGTTCTATCTAAGCACAATACTCCTTTATAGTAGTTCAGTAAACTGAGGAGAAAATTTATCTACATGTTATTCTCTAGTATATATGTATATATTTTAAAAGCCTACCTCCACAGAGAATTTTACAATGACTGAAGGAATTCAATCAACAGAAGACAGGTGCAAGGTGCATCAGTGTATATGAAGAACCATGAAGTTAGTTCACAGACCAAGAAAGCTACAAAAAAATCAAAGAAAAAGAAAGAAAAACAGAGGTTTTCACTTTATATGCCCCAAAGTTATAGAAAAGAACAGTATCAGAATTTTAAAGATAAATATTGATGAACTGAAGGAGAACAGCATATTTAGCCTTACTTGGAAATCTTCATAAACTGAATATTACTCCCAAGTAAGTGAAATTAATAAAACAAAAAATTTTAGTTAGTGAAAACATAATTGTCACATAGTTGATTAAGATACTCATCATTGCCCAGCTGGTCTGGCTCAATGGTTGAGCGTTGACCTATGAACCAGGAGGTCACGGTTCGATTCCCAGTCAGGGCACATGCCTGGGTTGCAGGCTTGATCCCCAGTAGGGTGTGGACAGGAGGCAGCCAATCAATGATTCTCTTTCATCACTGATGTTTCTATCTCTCTCCCTCTCCCATCCTTTCTGAAATCAATAAAAACGTATTTTTAAAGGTATTCATCTTTTAGTAGAATCCATAATAAAATATGAAGGTATTAGGTAACTACCACAATCAAGTAAAAATAAGTTTTTCAGAAGAAGAATAACAATTTCAAAATACGTCATTAAAATTCTAGTCAGGTAGCAGGAGGATTTACAAATATACTTCTTTTAATGCTATTATTCCTGAATTTGAGATGCTATTATGAACAACTTGTTACTTTGAAATTAATATTTGCATTGTTTCCTAGCCTTTTTACCTGCCTGTACTTTTGCCCAATCCCCTTGAAAGCAGGGGCGTACACTTGTAGGCTGGATGGTCAAAGGCATTGGCACAGTTACTGCTATGAACTATGGATCCTGAACCAGTTTTGCCTAAGAATTACCTGGAGAACTTCTTAAAAATGTACTTCTGAAATCCACCTCAGATTCTTAGAAATGTCTGTTTATACAAAGATCTGCAGGTGTGTCTGAGGCATTGACAGATTTTAGGAAAATAGACTAGAGCTATGGGTTTAGAGCTGTGTTTTAAAGAGTCTTAAAATTCTCACAAAATGCCTTTGGGTAGTTCTCACATATGCCAGTCAGAATAATTCCATTTTTATTTATTTTATGTATCTCTTATGCTTCTTAAAATCTGAAAACTACAAGACCAGCTAGAACAAAGTGAACTCAGCCACATAGATATTAAACTCATGATTTTGGCATCATAATTGACCTAATCCAAAGACAAAGAGACTAGACAGATAAAAAGACCAGGATTGATGAACATAGAATATCTGTTAATGCCAAAAGAAACATCTTATAAAAGCAGTTCTGTAATTCATTTACTGTATTTTTTATTACAACTTAACCCATTCAATACTGAATTGCATGATAAAGTTCTCTAAATGGAAAAAATACACATAAACATATTATATTAATTGCATATGCAGCTGTCACTTATAAAAACTACCTTATTCTAGACTGCAAGTAAAACTACAAACCATGTAAATAAATCCAAAGCTTAGTGACCTTTTCTCCTCCAATCTTAATTCCGGCAGACAGAGAGGAGGCAGGGAAGGCAGCAGTAGATCTGAAAGGTGTGCTCCTTGAGGAAATGGTCACCCTAGAAATGTGATCAGAATGAACCCTTGTCTATTGCTTCCCCATTAGCATGAGGTTTGGATCCTTTGAACTCATTTGTGGTCCTTCCCACAATGTCCTCTAACCCAGAAAACTATGTTGTGTTGTGGTGAAAGGCAGGTAAGAATGCTAGTTTCCTCCTCCCATCCTGTCCTTAGATATTGCCCAACAGAACTGTCTCTATATATCCTGGCCTTTTGAAATTCTCCATTTCAATCACACTGCCTGGTAATAATGTATGCCCAGTGGAAATTAGATGTGAGACATCAAATCTTATACGTGAATACAATCTCAAGGGTTGCTTCATCAAATGGATCAGCATAATGTTTTTACTCACCTGTCTGAATACACATACTAAGCAGGAGATGAACTGAGAAAGAAGCCAGAAGAGCAACTATCAGCAGCAAAAAACTAAAATACAAAAGGGTATAAAAAAAGGTTTTTTACCGTATCTCTTACAACAGTAATTTTTTTTAAAGTCTCACAGAGACTATCTTTGAGTAGTTGGGTTATGGTCACTGAAGAAAGTAAGAAGATACTTTTCTGTATTTACCAAATTTTATTTAAGTGAAAATACACTGCTTTTAAACTAGGAAAAAATCAGAAAGAAACAAGCTTTATTTAAAGTAAAAACGAATTTCCTATTTTAGCACTCTTGTTTACTGACTGATGGTTCAGCCACTCAATAATCTTTTAATATTTCCCTTTTTTGACTATTTTTCCTATTTTGAAGTTTTAAAGTTATAAAATTTGCGATGAATACCTCCCATAATAAAAACAAGTTGAGTTACTTAAAAGTTGGTTTGCTTATCAAGAAATTCAAAATAAAAATAACCTAGGGAACACTCGGGAGGAGGGTTTTCTTCCCCTCTTCTTTCCCCGGGTGCAGTACCTTTGCCTTTCTCTCTCCTAAGCTCCAAGGGGCCCTCTTTTGTCTCTGTAACTTGTTTCCTGAGCCTACACAGCCCATCTGGCTCACTACTTCTTCCTCTGTAACTTTCTTTTAAAAAAAATATATGTATGTATATATATTAATTGATTTCAGAGAGGAAGGGAGAGGGAGAGATAGAAACATATTAATGATGAGAGAGAATCATTGATCAGCTGTCTCCTGCACGCCCAACCAGGAATCAAACTATGACCTCCTGGTGCATAGGTCAACATTCAAACACTGAGCTACACTGGCTGGGCTAAATAAACTTCCTTTTATTACTTGAAAAATAAAATAATGAAATAAAAAATAATTTAAAACACCTAAATGACACTGAATATTTTAAATTTACTAGTAAAATAGATCTTCTTCTACTGACAAAACAAGTATGTTCATTCTACCAACCCTGGTGCTAGATGCTAAAGATAAGGTTCAGTTCTACAGGATTTAAGAGTTTAGTGGTGAAACTAATTTGCAAACAAATCATTATATTAAATGATAATAACAAAATGAATATACAAAGTACTATGGGAGCACAGAAAAGCTAGGAATGTCTTTTATTTTGGGCAAATTGGCGTATGAGCAGAGTCTTGAAAGATGAAAAGAAATAGGCACAGACCACATCTGGCCTCGGAAAGGAAAAAGGCTACTTACCAGTGGGAGGACAGGAGGAGTTAGATAGCAAGGAAAAGATTCTGTGCTTCACTTACACTCACAAAATTGCTATTTATAAGTAATCTGCATGGCTGATAAATCTTGATTCACTTTGGCCAACATGACACAACAAATAAGTCACTTCTTAAGGTCATAAACTAGTGTAGATCAAGTCTCCCATTTTTTTAAGTTAGCCACACTTTTGGATTTAAAAAATGCAAATTATATAGCATTCCTCCAAGCTACAAACTAACAACAACAACAAATGCTAAAATTCCAGAAATAACTTAATTAGAAATTGGATAACACCAGCTTCTGGAGTCTATCTCATTTGTCTTACTGTACTATCCAAATGGAGGGGGGAAGGTGGTGAAAGTAATGGTAAAATAAGAAAAAACTCACCTAAATCCAAGGATACCAGTGTGAGCCGTAACAAAAGCTAAGCCAAGGATGCCACTTCCCATGATGGCATTCATCAAATTAAACACTGAGAAACCATATGAAACACCTGGGGATCCTTGTCTGTGACGTTCCTGTAAGCACCCAAATTTAATAGTGTTAAATGTTTGCATGGTGAATTCAAGTTTCATCGAGAAATGACTGACAGGTTATCTGCAGGACCACAACCATGGTGTGACACACTAGCTGCCCGGTCAGGACTAGTTGCTTTCCTTTCCTTCCCTTCTCACCTCCCAGCAGCAGCTCCAGGAATCTAGTTTCCTGGGAGAATCCTCTCCACCGCTACAGAAGCCAGGTAGCTTCAGGAAGAGATGGAATGGTGCGGGGAGGGAGAGCAGGCTGATGGCCTCAGCTCGTGATTACTGAAGACTTCCTGAGTCATCTTGAGGCTGCTGTACACAACTGTTGTTCCCCAATTACTAGTAGGGCAACACTAAGTTTTGTTTCGTTTTGTTAATCCTCACACGAGGATATTTTCCATTGATTTTTTTTTTTTTTAGAGACAGTGGAAGAGAGAAGAGAGAAAAAGAAACATGAGACACACATCGATTGGTTGCCTCCCGCATGCACCCTGAACAGAGTTGGGGATAGAGCCTCCAACCAAGGTAGGAGCCCTTGACCCTAATCTAACCTGCTACCCTTCCTTCAGTCCGCAGGCTGACGTTCTACCCAGTGAGCCAAACCGGCTAGGGCTAATTTTTATTTGTATTACTTAATGAATTAAGTCCACCCAACTGGAAGTATGGTCAAGAATACCTTGCAATGACGGTAGAATCAGCAATTCATTTTGCTCCTGAGATATTTCTGAAAACACCCACCCCCAAAATAGCCTTTGGGAACAAGGTCCTAGAACCTGTTAATTCAGGGACTTGAGTTAAAATGCCGAGTACCCATGGCACAGGCCTCGGGGTCAGGAAAGTGTTATATGTACTTACTACCGGGCCACCTCCACTCCTTTACAGTTAAGGATCTTTGTATTAAGGTGTTTACAGGCCACCAATGACTAAGTCAAGAACAGAAAAATCTTGTGACTCTTGCAAAAACCTCACAAGACTGGTGGGGGAAACGGGAAGCTGACAAAGACAACTAGGAACAGCAGTGAGCTGCCTAACCCAAGGGCTGCTCCTCCGGTCGCGTATCCCGCGGTACCTGTCCCACCTGCGCCTGGAGTCAGCTTTCTTCCAGGGCACTTAGGGTGCTCTCACATGGATGCACCCCGCCCAACCTGAATCTCTACTGCTGCCAGTGGGCCCCACGGCCCACGCCCCTCTCCCGTGCCAACCCCCTTCTTTTCCCGGTCTTATTTGGCAGGCACTTCAGGGGAGCCGGTGGCAGGCAATGCCAAGAGGGTAGCGGAGCCAACTTACGTTGCTTAGCAACGGGCTCAACTCTTCTGCCTGCGCCTCCGCCTCCTCGGGCTGCTGGGAAGAGACGTACCAGCCCGGCTGGACATTGATGACTCCCCAGGGCGCCTCCATGATGCTCGCTGGCCAACGACCAGGTCCATCTGGGAGCTACTACCCCTGCCCTCCCGTCGTCAGTCGCGCCAGAGGCGGAGCTTTAGGCCCGGCCCTTCCGGGCTCCCGGACCTCCACAAGGCCCCCGAGATAGGTGGGAATCGGCGCGATATGATGACGTTTCTCCTCGCGGCGAGCAGTGATGATGTCATCCAGAGCCAACCCACCCACCCGCAACCCTTTTCCGAGCTGCACCAGAGCATGAGGTGAGGGACCTGAGTCGCGGAGCCAGATGCGGCGCGACACCAGGAATTAGGTGGTGACCTTGGGGAGGTGGCCGCCGCGGGGCCTTTTTTAGTTCGTAGGGGCTGAGCGTCGCCTGCAGTACCTGTCTGCCCCGGCGCCTAAACGTCGCGAGGTCACCCATTTTCAGCCCTAGTGCTGAGCCCAGGTTCGAGTGCCGGGTAGTGAGGAACGGTTTATTCTTTTCAAAAGCTTTCTGATAAACCCTGTAGCGACATTTTATATAGGGGAATCCAGACTTATTAAGTAATTGACGCAGGACCACACAGCTGGTTAACTGCCGGACCAACCCAATTTGAACCCTGGCTGTGAAGTCTGACATTTGTTTTACAGGGTTGGGGGCAGGACCCGTTCCTCTTGCAATTACTTCTTTAGTATTCAAGAAGGCAAAGTGAAAAAAAAATTATATATATATAAGATATATAGATATGATTTCAGAGAGGAAGGGAGAGGGAGAAAGAGATAGAAACATCAATGATGAGAGAGAATCGTTGATGAGCTGCCTCAGGCATGCCCCACACTGGGGATCGAGCCCTCGTGTGCCCTGACCGGGAATCAGCTGTGTGACCTCCTGACTCATTGGTCAGCATTCAACCACTGAGCCACTCCACGCAGGACAGTAACCGATACTCTTAATGGCACGTGTATATAACACTCAGTAAAGAACCCTGCCCTCAAAATACCAAAACCTCGTTATAGGCAGGGCTTGGGGCAATAAAGCATCAAAGGTAACATTGCAGTATATTAATAACAGGCACTAAACTCAGACCTGGGTTTTAATCCTTGCTCAGCAATTTACCGACAAGGAACCTGAGTGAATTAACCTACTTCTGCGCTTTAGTTTACTCATTTATAAAATGAAAATGCGCCCCCTAACCAGTTTGGCTCGGTGGACAGAGCGTTGGCCTGCGGACTAAAGGGTCCCAGGTTCCATTCCAGTCATAGGCATGTACCTTGGTTGCGGGTACATCCCCAGTAGGAGGTGTGCAGGGGGCAGCTCATCGCAGTTTCTCTCTATCCCTCTCCCTTCCTCTCTGTAAAAGATCAATAAAATGTACTTTTTAAAAAATGAAGATGCGATACCACAAGCCTCCCAAGTTGGATGTGTGTAAAGCATTTAGCTTAGCATCTGACACAATAAGCAACCACAATAATATCCTAGGAAATATTGCTGTTGGTAAAGCCATGAATATAATGACCATTTTATTTAGAGATGATTCCTTAATTCAAATCTCAGTCTTAAATGTATTCTGTAGCAAACTGTGGGTGGAGAGGTGCATTAAGTATAGGAGGTGGATAGATCACTAAGCCCTCATCCTGGCAGCAGGTGGGGTGAAGGGGCAAATTTGTTATTTACCACTAATAAAAGTCATTCTGCCCTGGAAAAGATGGTACGTATACTCACACACCACTAAAAGTTTTCATTAATAGCATTTAGCAGGTTATGTAAAACAGAATTTAGGTTTTCATTGTCAAAACCTATTGTGCACATGTAAGTTGGTTTGTAGCTTTATGATTTTTAAATGAATACTTTTTTAGGATCTTCTGGAGGCCATTTGGATTCTTAAGAAGACTTCTCAAAGTGGAAAGCTGTAGAATAACTGAATCAGAATCATTGATCCCATTAGCTTGGACATCACTGGTACAGAAACTCAGCAAAGCACCTGGTATTTTCTTGCTGGATCAAAGAAAAAGATTCTCAACCATGCCTGAAATAGAAACTAGTCAAAGTGACTCAGAATTGTTTTCACCACCCTCTGATGTTCGAGGAATGACAACACTGGATAGAACAGCTTTTAACAAGATAGTCACTATACCAGTGCTTAAAGTGAGGAAAGAAATTGTCAATAAATTGATGCGATCCCTTAAAAGGGCAGCACTGCAGCGACCGGGCATAAAACGTGTGATTGAAGATCCAGAAGATGAAGAAAGTAGACTAATTATGTTGGATCCCTATAAAATATTGACTAATGATTCCTTTGAGGAAGCAGAACTCAGTATTTTAAAGCAGCTTAATGTCAGTCCACAGATATCTAAATATAATTTGGAACTAACTTATGAAAACTTTAAGTCAGAAGAAATCTTGAGAGCTGTGCTTCCTGAAGGTCAAGATGTGACTTCAGGGTTTAGCAGAGTTGGACATATTGCGCACCTGAACCTTCGAGATCATCAACTACCTTTCAAGCATTTAATTGGTAGGTATGTCTAAGAATATTCCTGAGCTAGAAAGCAATTACAAAGTTCTAATTTTATAAATTATTTTTTTAAATGCCAAATTGCAGAAGCAAGGCATTTTATCTTTTTAATTTTCATCTGAATCTTAAACTACATTCTCTTTTGAGGGCCAATTTGGAATCCCCATTCCAGAGTCATAGCAAGCTTTAAATATCAGTTCAAGCTTGTGTGTACACAGTACATAAGCTTAGATAACACTTAAATGACTTGCTTTGGCAGAATTCTTTGGCAACTCATCACTTTGGTACACAGGCTTTAGTAGGCCTTGGGACTGTGTTGAATGCTAGGTTTCATGAAATTGAGTATTTTTATAGTCACAATTGCAAAACACTATTTACTCATACTTTCATGGATTCAACTAATTGAGCCTCTTCTGTATGTCAGCACCATACTTTGGTTTTTAGTGCTCCTAGTCTTTTAGAAATGATGCTTGTGGGAGAGAGGCTGGAGATGGGGGCCAGGAGGGGAACCAGGAGTGGGGGAGGGGGAAAGAGGGGGGG